AACCCGCTAGCTCTTATGACTTGACCCACAGTTTTCTGCAAACTTTGATCAACAAAGACACATAAACCTTTGACATTAAATGTTGGAATTTCGTGCGTAATAAAATGATGGTTTAACTACTGTAATTGTAATATTAACGAGCTGGCTTTGTTTATCATAAGTTTCTATACGTTTGTGCCATCTTGTGTGTACTGTCAGTACTGTTTTTGAGGGGACAAGACAAAATATTTAAGACAAAACTTCCAAGGTAACTAGATAATACAGGCATCGAGGATTTTCGTCATAAACCAGCTGAAGAGATGGTAAGTTTATGGAAATTATGTCTTAAAAGTTTACACAATTTTTTTGTTATTTTATTTGAGTTTTTAATGCATTACTGAATGTAGTGCAGGTAGGCTATTTGCCAGAGCCTAACGCCAAGAGAGCGATTTAAACGTTTAGTTTATTTTTATTGATTATGATGTCTGTGATCAGTGCCTGTGTTTTGCTTAGTTTTTTTAAAAGTTATAAGACTTTAGAAAATATGTAACTGAAATAACATAAGTTTTAATATATCTTTTCTCTCCTGATTGCGGGGAAAATAGGCCTACGATCGTAGTTTTCTATAGGTACTTCTACGGGCTTAACGCTTTTAACATAACCCACGCGCCATTATTCTAGTCTTGACGAAGTAAAACGATAACTTTATTACTTTGTTTGAATTTCTAAATGTTCTTTTATTGTAGTCTGGCTTCAGCTTCAGCTTGTTCATGGTTCGTTAAGTTCACTCTGCTTACTGTTTCTGAAACTGAAACATTTTTATGTTATTAGTGAATGGAATAACTTTTCTGAATATGTTCAGGCACCGTGATGTTCATTGCAATGCGAACTTTCAAAAAATAAACACTTTTAGTTTCACAAAGCGTTTGTAAAGTTTGTTAAATGACGGAGCAAATCTCTTCATACAGTGTCGAAGAATTCTTTAATTTGTTAAATTTATTTTTTAATGATTCTATAGATTTTCAGCGACAAAGATAACTAGCATGTATGGATTGACCTATATAAGGAAAAACACCTTTCAACACAAACATATTACTAAAAATAAACAGTAGGATAATGTACCACCAACACAACAAATCATTAAATCAAGATAATGGCTAAACGCGGACCTATCAAGTATATAAAAAAAATCTTGTCAGAATTTCCCTGCACCATCCCGCTTCAGCGTAAGAAATCGCTGTCCTCTCACAGCATGTACCACACAGCATTTGTGCAGGGCTAACGGTGTACAAAAAACGGGCACCTCTGACATTAGACACTAGAATTGCATCACAGTTCACCGTGGGAAGCTTACCTATAGACGCATACGCCGCTAGAGGCTATGTTGTATGGAGACGGCAATTCAATTGAATATTAGAAGATACTCTTAGATATTGTACTGGTTGAATGTAAAGAGGTGATGATCCAACTCAGTGGCAGGCTAGAAGGGGTAGAAAGATAAATCTTTCATGCTGATGATAATGACTTCAAGATTACTGAATTCTTCGTAAGTCTTGTGGTAAGAGGTACTGAGACTATAACCAGAAGTTTTAGAAACCTATATAGGATTAACCGACTATAAAGGCAGTAAGACCTTTTGATGAACGGTGGAATACGTCCACTGCCAAACAAATATCCTCCTCTTCTCCGTAATGAAGGGGAATTTTGTCAAAATCTCCACGCTTGGCGAACAGCATGGCGAATAATGGGAATCGCACTTAGATCACCGTGAGTCGCTTAGATCACCGTCAGTTTAGACACATA